TCATCATATTTAGCTAGCCAAACATTCATAACGTCTGCATCTCCTCCTGCAATAGGTCTGTCACCTAGCGGTGCATCAAGGATATAATTCCTCTGTGCAGCAATGAGGATAAACCTCAGATCACGGATCCAATCCGCATCATTGCTACTAACATCTTTCAACACAATTTTCTCTAGGAACATATCAAAATAAACACAGGGAAGCAACAACGCGAGCTATTGATCTACAACATGATCTGCAAAATACTACCAGGACTAAGTTCATGATAAATTTAAGTTCAATTAATCATATTACTTAAGAACTCCCACTTAGATAGACATCACTCTAATCCTCTAAGTGATCACGTGATCCAAATCAACTAAACCATAATCGATCATCACGTGAAATGGAGTAGTTTTCAATGGTGAACATTGCTATGTTGATCATATCTACTATATGATTCACGCTCGACCTTTCGGTCTTAGTGTTCCGAGGCCATATCTGCATATGCTAGGCTTGTCAAGTTTAACCTGAGTATTCTGCGTGTGCAAAACTGGCTTGCACCCGTTGTAGATGGACGTAGAGCTTATCACACCCGATCATCACGTGGTGTCTGGGCACGATGAACTTTGGCAATGGTGCATACTCAGGGAGAACACTTATACCTTGAAATTTTAGTAAGGGATCATCTTATAAAGCTACCGTCGAACTAAGCAAAATAAGATGCATAAAAGATAAACATCATATGCAATCATAATATGTGACATGATATGGCCATGATCATCTTGCGCCTTTGATCTCCATCTCCAAAGTACTGTCATGATCTCCATCGTCACCGGCATGACACCATGATCTCCATCATCTTGATCTATATCAATGTGTCGTCACATGGTCGTCTCGCCAACTATTGCTCTTGCAACTATTGCTATCGCATAGCGATAAAGTAAAGCCATTATTTGGCGCTTGCATCTTATGCAATAAAGAGACAACCATAAGGCTTCTGCCAGTTGTCAATAACTTCAACAAAACATGATCATCTTATATCTCATCACGTCTTGACCATATCACATCACAACATGCCCTGCAAAAAACAAGTTAGACGTCCTCTACTTTGTTGTTGCAAGTTTTACGTGGCTGCTACGGGCTTAGCAAGAACCGTTCTTACCTATGCATCAAAACCACAATGATAGTTTGTCAAGTTGGTGTTGTTTTAACCTTCGCAAGGACCGGGCGTAGCCACACTCGGTTCAACTAAAGTTGGAGAAACTGACACCCGCCAGCCACCTGTGTACAAAGCACGTCGGTAGAACCAGTCTCGCGTAATCGTACGCGTAATGTCGGTCCGGGTCGCTTCATCCAACAATACCGCCGAACCAAAGTGTGACATGCTGGTAAGCAGTATGACTTATATCGCCCACAACTCACTTGTGTTCTACTCGTGCACAACATCAACACATAAAACCTAGGCTCGGATGCCACTGTTGGGGAACATAGTAATTTCAAAAAAATTCCTACGCATACTCAAGATCATGGTGATGCATAGCAGCGAGAGGGGAGAGTGTTGTCCACATACCCTTGTAGACCGAAAGTGGAAACGTTATAACAACGTAGTTGATGTAGTCGTACGTCTTCACGGCCCGATCGATCAAGCACTGAAACTACGGCACCTTCGAGTTCTAGCACACGTTCAGCTCGATGATGATCCCCGGACTCCGATCCAGCAAAGTGTCGGGGAAGAGTTCCGTCAGCACGACGGCGTGGTGACGATCTTGATGTTCTACCATCGCAGGGCTTTGCCTAAGCACCGCTACAATATTATCAAGGATTATGGTAGAGGGGGCACCGCACACGGCTAAGAGATCTCAAGGATCAATTGTTGTGTCTAGAGGTGCCCCCCTGCCCCCGTATATAAAGGAGCAAGGGGGAGGGGTGGCCGGCCATGATGAGGCGCGCCAGGGAGGAGTCCTACTCCTACCGGGAGTAGGACTCCCTCCTTTTCCTTGTCCAAGTAGGAGAGGGGGAAGGAAGGGAGAGAGGAGAGGAAGGAAAGGGGGGGCGCCGCCCCTCCCTCCTTGTCCAATTCAGACTAGGGGAGAGGGGGCGCGCGGCCTGCCCCGGCCGCGCCTCCTCTTCTCCACTTTAGGCCCATGAGGCCCATTAACCCCCCCGGGGGGGGGGGGGGTTCCGGTAACCCCCCGATACTCCGGTTTTATCCGAAACTTCCTCGGAACACTTCCGGTGTCCGAATATAGCCATCCAATATATCAATCTTTATGTCTCGACCATTTCGAGACTCCTCGTTATGTCCATGATCACATCCGGGACTTCGAACTAACTTTGGTACATCAAAACTAATAAACTCATAATATAACTGTCATCGAAACCTTAAGCGTGCGGACCCTACGGGTTCGAGAACAATGTAGACATGACCGAGACACGTCTCCGGTCAATAACCAATAGCGGAACCTGGATGCTCATATTGGCTCCCACATATTCTATGAAGATCTTTATCGGTCAGACCGCATAACAACATACATTGTTCCCTTTGTCATCGGTATGTTACTTGCCCGAGATTCAATCGTCGGTATCTCAATACCTAGTTCAATCTCGTTACCGGCAAGTCTCTTTACTCGTTTCGTAATACATCATCTCGCAACTAACTCATTAGTTGCAATGCTTGCAAGGCTTATGTGATGTGCATTACCGAGAGGGCCCAGAGATACCTCTCCGACAATCGGAGTGACAAATCCTAATCTCGAAATACGCCAACCCAACATGTACCTTTGGAGACACCTGTAGAGCTCCTTTATAATCACCCAGTTACGTTGGTTTGGTAGCACACAAAGTGTTCCTCCGGCAAACGGGAGTTGCATAATCTCATAGTCATAGGAACATGTATAAGTCATGAAGAAAGCAATATCAACATACTAAACGATCGGGTGCTAAGCTAATGGAATGGGTCATGTCAATCACATCATTTGCCTAATGATGTGATCCCATTAATCAAATAACAACTCTTTGTCTATGGTTAGGAAACATAACCATCTTTGATTAACGAGCTAGTCAAGTAGAGGCATACTAGTGACACTGTGTTTGTCTATGTATTCACATATGTATTATGTTTCCGGTTAATATAATTCTAGCATGAATAATAAACATTTATCATGAAATAAGGAAATAAATAATAACTTTATTATTGCCTCCAGGGCATATTTCCTTCAGCTGGCAGGCCGGCCCACTCGGGTATTGGATCGATCGTGCCCCTGCTGATCCCACTGGATCGAGGCAGGGACGAGCGCGGTCAACGGAGGCGGCTAGATGCGTCGTCTACCTCCTTCGAAAGAAACAGAGGAGAGGCAGAGAGGCATGGCGCGGCGACTTCAGGCGAGGGGACGACAAGGAGGTGCATGGACGGCGGGATCTGGCGGGTCTGGGTGCGGGGATGGATCTCTCCGGCGAGGTAGGCAAGGGCTCGTCCTCCTCTATCTGCTCCTGACAGAGGGATGTAGCGCGACGCGGAGGAGACCAGGAAGACGGGGACGAGCGTTGTTCCTGTGCTCGGACTAGTCAAAGACGAGCCCTGAAGGGTGGCGTCCATGCATCGAGGCGGCGTGCTTGGAGCTCGGTAACCTGCGAGGACGGCCATGGCGGGTATTAGAGAGAGAGAGAGGGAGGAGATGACGCCATGGAGAAAGGAAAAAGGAGAGGGGCACGAGGGGCTGGCCTGGCGACAGCTCCGCTGCTGCTGCTGGACGACGAGGAGGAGACAGGAGCAGGGGGGCTCGGTTGCTGTTGCTGCGGTGGCGCTCGACGGATCGGGAGGAGCTGGAGTGGTGGGATTGGTTCGATGGGACAACGAGGAGGATACCAGGGGAGGTTTGAGGTTGGCTGTGGGTGAGATCCCGATGGGGATTTGGGGAATAAGTGCGGCGGCGGCGGCAGGGACAAGTGCCTAGAAGTTAGGATTTGGCTAGTTTAGGTAGGGTTTCATCTGCTATAAATAGCAGCTAGGAATTGGATAGGGGCTATAATGTCCCTACGATCGCAATCGGACGGTCGCAAAAAAATAGTTAGGGAGTCCGAATAGAAAAACGGTGATGTTTTGTAGACGTTTGGGGATGATCTAGATCCAACGGTGACGACTGTCAGGGTCGGTCCGGGACAATTTTCGGACGCGCGCGAGGAGGGCTGCGGGCTGACAAGAGAGTTTAGGTAGGGCCTGACGGTGAGTGGTAGTGAGCCGTGTAGACGGTCTCGAGCTGAGAGAAGAGAAGAGAGGGAGGTCCGACGACTGTTTCCAGAGACCGAAAAACGTCCGACGTGTGACAGGCTATACTGCTGCTATAGTTTAACGGTTGGGCTATCAAACGAACTCCGAATGCGATGAAACTTGACGGCGGTCTATCTACACTAAAATAAGACCGCACACCAACTTTCAACCCATTCGAAGAACATTTTCCGGCCGTTTAAAAAATAATATTTTGGACATGCCGCGGGCGCGTGCAAGTGTGGTTGAACTCAGAACGGACAACGGACAGAACTGGGGGAACCCGGACGGATGCAAGTTTTAAAACATGATGATGCAATGCACATGATAACATGATAAGATGCAACACGCAAACAAATGACAAGGCAACAACAGTGAATAACTGGCGGACACCTGGCATATCGGTCTCGGGGCGTCACAGCACCTTAAATCATTGTCGTCTACTTCGAATATGGATATATTGAGTCCGAAGATTTGGCAAACGTCCCGTTATCGCCGGACTTCCAAAATGAGCTATTTTGTGGCTAGGCGGGAAATAGAACTACTCCTATTTTGGGAAATCAAGTTTTTTTTGGCAAACAATTATATCCCTGCAGGTTAGCTAGCTCATTGACAGGTGGGGTCCATATCCTGAGGGGCCCAGCTCGGTTTTGCCACCGGCCGTGTCGACGTCCGACCGGCTTCGATCGACCCTCGCGTGCACAGGCACCTCTCTTGGTGTCCCAACCAGGGCTCGTTCCGTGCACCTGCAGCCATGCTGCGGTGCGACGGCGACCGCGTCGTCATTGTCGGCGGTGGCATCGCCGGCGCCCTCCTCGCCAAGACGCTCCAAAACCACGCCGACGTGGTACTCATCGACCCGTACGCACGCACGCCCGCCATTAATCGCGACATTGGTTGATCGGTTGTTATTGATTTTGTGATACGCCATGGATGGACCCATGCAGGAAGGAGTACTTCGAGATCCCGTGGGCGAACGTGCGCGCCAAGGTGGAGCCGACGGTGGTGGAGCGCACCGTGATCCCGCACGCGGACTACCTCACCGACGCCAAGGTGGTGACGGCCAAGGCGGTCGGCGTCGATGACTCCGTTGTTCTCACCTCCATCGGTCGCACCGTCGGCTACGACTTCCTGGTCATCGCCACGGGCCGCACCTGCACCCGCCCCCAGAGCCGCCCCGAGCGACTCGAGATGTTCCACCGCGACAAGGACCGGATCGCCGCCGCGAGCTCCGTGCTCATCATCGGCGGCGGGCCCATCGGGGTCGAGCTCGCGGCGGAGATCATCATGGACAGCCCCGACAAGCGCGTCACCCTCGTCCACGGCGGGCCTCGGCTGCTCATGGTGATGAGCCCCCGCGCGTCGGCCAAGGCGCTCGAGTGGCTCCGGTCCAAGAACGTCACCGTGCTGCTGGACCAGACCATCGACGTCGATCTCGCCGGCAGCGGCGACGGTCACGAAGGACAGCGCGACTTCACGACGTCCGCCGGGGAGACGGTGTCCGCCGACTGCCACTTCGTGTGCACGGGCCGGCCCGTCGCGTCCGGGTGGCTGAGGGGCACGTTCCTCGGGGAATACATTGGCGCCGACGGCAGGCTGGTGGTGGACGAGCACCTGCGCGTGGGCAGGCTCAAGAACGTGTTCGCCATCGGCGACATCACCGACGTGCCGGAGGCGAAGCAGGGGTACCTGGCGCAGCGGCACGCCATGGTGGTGTCCCGGAACCTGCGTCTGCTGCTCAGGTCTGACGGCCCGGAGCATAAGCTGCACCGATACAAGGCCTCGAAGGCCGCCATCACCGTCACGCTCGGCCGCCGCGACGCGGTGTCGGAGCTGCCGTTCATGTCGCTCATCGGCCACATCCCCGGCGTCGTCAAGCCACGGGACCTCTACGTGTCGCGGACGCGAAGGATGATGGGGATAAAAAGTAAGAACGGGGAATCCTGATCGAGCGGTCCGAATTAATGTGCTGGTGCGGAAACGGTCCAACGGCATCGATTCATCAGGCTCTCGTCAGATCCATCTGATCTCTTGCTCCGTCATAGAAATCTCTGATCCTGTGGAGTGATACATATGTTGTTGATATTGTAAAAGGTGAAGCAAAAAAAAATACCACACCCTCCATCCAAAAGTATAAATTATACTAAAGCTGTGCCAATTAATTTGGATTGAAACAGTACTGGTATAGTTTTATCAGTCCCATGGCTGCAACATAGACATGCTTTGGTAGTGTACACTTGTATCCTACGCAACAAGGTGAAGCAAAAAAGATACGGCTAGGGTTCAGTAGAAAGGCATGTTTCCTCTTTGGCTAGCGACAACAACCCTAGCCGCCGTCAAGAGAGTCAACCTTCCGGCGCCGTTTTCCGGCGGCTCCCCTCCGCTGACGACCTCTTAGTCGTCGACGGTGAGGGGGGTCGCCGGATCCCGTGTGTGCGGATTGTTTTACCTTTAGGTTTTAGAGCCCTAGTAGATTAGGTTTTTGGATCGTCCGACGTCTTGGCTTCGGCGGCGGCGACGGGCCGACGGCGATGCTGAATAAAGAAGGTTCGGATTTTTCTCTGGGGAGGCGATCGTCTCTATGGTCGATGATGGATTTGAGAACCAGTCTGTTCAAGCGGGGATATCGTGGCGGCGACGACATCCTTGTGGTGAACTTGTGTCCTCGGGCTCCGTCGTTTGCGACGGCATTTGCTCCAGCGTCGACATGGAGCTTGAGAGGTAGTCCAAGAGCGGATGCAGATTGTGGTCTGCATGGACGACATCTGAAAGACGGAACGTGTGTTGGGTTCATGATTGATGGTTGTCAGGTATGATTTCCTCCTTCGGTGTCTAGTCGTGGTGGGTGTCAGATCTGGAGTTCGATGGCGTGTCTGGGGTGTTGCCCCGGTCTGATTTGTTCAACGACAATGGCTTCACCTTTTGGTGAGTCACCTTGGAGGTCCGCAAAGCTGCATATTAGCGATGAAGCCGCTCGAGCTCGGGTGAGGAGGTGATCCATCATTTTTTTGTGGCTGCTATGGTGGTGCCGGAGATAGGTGACGGACGTTGGTGTCATGCTCAGAGACGTTCTTTTGTCTTGTTAGTTTTGTCATGTTGATCTTTACATGACTTGTTCTTTATGGTATGAGTGAGACACGTATTACCATGCAAAAAACTAAGACTGGCTATATGTCGAGTGACTAAAAACCCAATTCGGACCAGATGAATTGTTGTGAGCCGTCGAACACAAGATGGATGGCTAGATCGTCCGAGGTTTTGATTGTGCATCTTCTACCTCGAACCGTCGATCTACAACCGTCCTAACTCTATCGCTGCCGCCCAGGGCCAGCACCACTCCCGCGTCAGCCTTGCCGCCCCGCCCTCCGCAATCGCCATCCCTAACCATGAACAAGATTTTCCGGTTAACCTGCCCCCCCCCAACACACACACACACACACACACACCCTAACATAGATAATGGGGTCGCCTAACCCATAAGGCTTATCCAGCGAGCCAACGGCTGCTTCCTTCCTGCGAAAATCGATTGGCCCAAAAACTATTTTCAGATGATTTACAAGCAGCTAAAGTGGAAGCAAATACACATTAGTATATTTTCTCTCTTTCTATGGAGTATATGAGAACAATCTGAAAATGACAGGAAACATAGTTGTTTCTACTCTTGTCATGTGTCATGTTTCACTCCAAGGGCAAGGTACTGGATCCTGTCACGTGTTTCATGCTCTAGGTACCATCTCCCTCTTTGGGGACGACATTGGTGATGTGTTCTCTGGTGATGAATGCTAGTAGAATTCTTGATAGAAGAGATCATGGTGCTCCCTCGACTTGGCTTGGCTAGTCGACTAGGAGTGGCTAAATTAACTCCTTTGGTTTGGTGCGTTGGTGCTAGTGGGTGGCAGCGACGCGAGCGCTCTGTCATGGAGGTGGCGGCGCCGAGGAGGCCCTGCCAGGAAGGAGATCCTGGCGGGCAGCGACCGACCGCCCGTCTCCGCGTGGTGGGCGTGCGGCGATGCCCCTGGAGGTGCTGTCCTTGGAGCGGCGGATGGACATAATACGTTTCCAACGTATCTACTTTTTCTAACGCTTTTCATCTTGTTTTGGACTCTAGTTTGCATGATTTGAATGAAACTAATTCCGGACTGACGCTATTTTCAGCAGAACTACCATGGCGTTGTTTTTATGCAGAAATAAAAATTCTCGAAATGGAACGAAACTTTGCGAGGATTTTTTATATCAATAATAAGAATTTCTGGAGCCAAGAATTGCTGGAGAGGGGCACCTAGGTGAGCACAAACCACCAAGGCGCGCCCCCCTCTCTTGGCGCGCCCAGGTGGGTTGTCCCCACCTGGTTGCCCCGCTGACCCTGAAACCAATGTTGTATATTCCTATTTTCGGAGAAAAAATCAAGGAGAAAGAATTATCGCGATCCACGAGACGAAGCCGCCGCCAAGCTCTGTTCTTCCTCGGGAGGGCAGATCTGGAGTCCGTTTGGGGCTCCGGAGAGGGGGATCTTCGTTCTTCGTCATCACCAACCCTTCTCCATCACCAATTCCATGATGCTCCCCATCGCGAGTGAGTAATTCCTTCGTAGGCTCGCTGGTCGGTGAGGAGTTGGATAAGATTCATCATGTAATCGAGTTAATTTTGTTAGGGCTTGATCCCTAGTATCCACTATGTTCTTAGATTGATGTTGCTATGAATTTGTCATGCTTAATGCTTGTCACTTTGGCTCCGGGTGCCATGATTTCATATCTAAACAGTTTATGTTATCATCATTATATCCATGTTCTATATCCGATATTGCAAGTTATAGTCACCTACTGCGTGTTATGATCTGGTAACCCTAGAGTGACAATAACCGGGACTTCTTCCGGTGATTACCGTAGTTTGAGGAGTTAATGTATTCACTATGTGTTAATGATTTGTTTCAGTTCTCTATTAAAAGGAGGCCTTAATATCCCTTAGTTTCCAATATGGACCCCGCTGCCACGGAAGGGTAGGACAAAAGATGTCATGCAAGTTCTTTTAATAAAGCACGTATGACTATTTATGAAATACATGTCTACATTATATCGATGAACTGGAGCTAGTGCCGTGTTGCCCTAGGTTATAACTGTCACATGATGAATATCATCCAACAAGTCACCGATCCAATGCGTACGAACTTTTCCATATTGTTTCTGCTAAGTTACTACTGCTATCATCATTGTTACACTTACTACAAATTACTGCTATCACCGTTACTGTTACTATTGCTGCTTTCACTACTATCAAAACTATCATATTACTGTGCTACTGATTACTTGCTGCAGATAATTAATCTCCAGGTGTGGTTGAATTGACAACTCAACTACTAATACCTTCAAATATTCTTTGATCCCCCTTATGTCAAATCTATAAATTTGGGTTGAATAGTCTACCCTCAAAAACTGTTGCGATCCCCTATACTTGTAGGTTATCAAGACCTTTTTCTGGCGCCGTTGCCGGGGAGCATAGCTATATTTGCTGAGTCACTTGGGATTATTATCATATTCTCACTATGAAGAATCTGAAGGATCCTAAGACTAAGATATTTCCCTCAAGGACGATGGGAGGTAAGGAACTGCCATCCAGTTCTGCTTTAAATTCACCTCCTGTTATGAATAAACTTGCAACACCACCACATGCTATTAATTCTAATATGTCGCAAGTTATTGATGATGCTACTTCTACTATGAATGATGCTTATGATGATGCTAGTACCTTGTTTGGTAATGATGATGTGCCACTTGGTGATTTTCTTGATGAACAAATTGCTAGAGTTATACAACATGATGTTGTTGAATCTGATGATGATCTTGAAACTGAAACTCCTGAAATACCTGCTAGAACTAGCCTTCCTAGGTATGAATTGCCTAATGTACCGAAAGGTTATGTTATGAGTGAAGAAACAAATAGAGATATTCTTGCTTGCAATGATAGAGATAATCTAGAGAAATTATTACATAAGTATAAAAAAATCTCTGAATGCTAGAATGAAATGTGATCCTAAATTTGCTACTTCACCTATCTTTATCGATGATAAGGATTATGAATTCTCTATCGACCAAGAGTTAATTACTTTGATTGAATCTGATCCTTTCCATGGTTATGAAACTGAAACTGTTGTGCCACATCTTACTAAGTTGAACGATATAGCCACCCTTTTTACTCATGACGAGAAAACTCGCTACTACTTTATTCTCACATTATTTCCTTTCTCATTAAAGGGTGATGCTAAAGCTTGGTACAATACTCTTGCTCCTGGTTGTGTGCGTAGTCTCCAGGATATGATTTACTACTTTTTTGAAAATTATTTTCCTACTCATAAAAAACAAGTTGCCTTACAGGAAATATTTAATTTTGCTCAAACTAAAGAAGAGAGTCTCCCACAAGTTTGGGGAGGCTTTGCCAGATACTTAATGTTTTGCCTGATCATTCTCTTAAGAAAAATGAAATACTTGATATCTTCTATAATGGACTAACTGATGCTTCTAGGGACTTCTTAGATAGTTGTGCTGGTTGTTTTTTTCAGGGAACGAACTGTTGGACAAGCTGAGGAATTGTTGAATAACATATTAAAAAACTATGATGATTGGACTATTTCTGAACCATCGCCTAAACCCAATCCGAAGAAGAGGGGTATATTATATCTCAGTCCTGAAGATATGCAAGAGGCAAAGAAATCTATGAAGGAAAAAGGTATTAAAGCTGAGGATGTTAAAAATTTATCTCTTATTGAAGAAATACATGAGCTTAATACACCACCACTGCCTAAGGTGGTAGAGGTAAATTCTTTTATGAAGTTTAATGATAGTGATAATCCTCACAATATGCATCCTAGTCAATGCCTTTATGAGTTTGAAAACTACATTAGAAAACAAGATCACTTCAATGCAAATGTTATAAAACAATTGAAATGCAATTATGATATGATTGCTCGCTTGAGTTACTTGTTATTTAGAATATCAAATGATGTTAGAGGTGTTGGAAAACATGCTTTTATGATTCAAACTCAATTAGAACAAGTTGGTACATCTCAAAGAGAATTACTTGATGAAATGAATAATAATATGAATGACTTTGTTGTTAGAGTTGCAACTAGAGGAGGTAAAATGACTCAGGAACCACTTTATCCTGAGGGACACCCTAAAAGAATTGAACAAGATTGACAAAGATCTAACACTAGTGCACCTAGTTCTTCTAGAAAGAAAAAGAAAAGAAGAATGATAGGACTTCACATGCTCCTAGTGAACCTGAAATAGAAAAACCTCCTGACAATTATAATGAAGTTTCTATCTCAGATGTTGAAACTCAGTCTGGTAATGAACACTCACCTAGTGATAATGAAAAAGATAATGTTGATGTTCATGAAGATACCCAACCAAATAATAAAGAACCAGCCGATGATCTTGAGATAGAACCACCAGTTGATCTTGATAATAGACAACCTAAAAATAAAAGGTATGACAAAAGAGACTTTGTTGCTAGAAAACACGGTAAGGAAAGAGAACCATGGGTTCAAAAACCTATGTCTTTTTCACCCAAGTCAACTAAAAAGAATGATGATGAAGAATTTGAACGCTTTGTTGAAATGCCGATGTCAGTATTTTTTGCTACTCGCTTGACTGATATCTTGAAAATGCCTTCATATGCAAAGTATATGAAAGACATCATCACAAATAAGAGAAAAATACTGAAAGCTGAAATCTCCTCTATGCTTGCTAATTATACTTTTAAAGATGGAGTACCTAAAAAACTTAGAGATCCGGAAATACAACTATACCTTGCTTTATCAAAAAATTTACGTGAAAATTGCTTTGTGTGATTTAGGAGCTGGTGTTAGTATTATACCTTTCTCTTTATATAAAAGACTTGATTTGAATAAACTCACACTGTATTGAGATATCTTTACAAATGGCTGATAAATCAACTGCTATAACTATCGCTATCTGTGAGGATGTGCCCGTTGTTGTTGCTAATGTTATTATTTTGACTGATTTTGTTATACTTGAGATGCTCGAAAACGACAACATGTCGATTATCCTTGGTAGACTCTTCTTGAATACTGCAGGGGTTGTTATTGATTGCAATAAAATCAAGGTCACTTTTTATATTAATAGCAATGAGCATACAATGCACTTTCCGAAAAAACAATTCCAAATAAATGATTTTAGTATTATTGAAAAATCTCCGACGATTCTTTTCTTATACTCTCTTCATTCTAAAATAGATGACCCAACTTTATACTAGTATAAAGTTATAAAGTTGTGTCATTTATTTTGGAATAGAGGGAGTACTTTTTTGGTTTGGGTTGGTCCTGGCGTCTAGAGCGCGCGGTAGTTTTTGCGACGGTAAATATTGTACGTACGAGCAATCCAACGGCCCAGAGCAGTCGGTTTTTACCAAAGTGCAATCCCTTCTCTCCAACCCTGCCGCCCGAAGGCTGCAGCCATGCGGCGGCACTACGCCGAGCTCCTCCGCCGTGCCGCCTCGCTGCCGTCTCTCTCGCTCGTGGCCTCCCTCCACGCCGCCGCGCTCCGCCGAGGCGCGGTCCTCGTCCCCTCGCTCATCCACGCCTACTCCGCGTGCGGCGACCCAGCCTCCGCCCGCAGCGTGTTCGACGGATTGCCCGCACAGGAGCAGACACTCTCCGCGCGCACCGCGCTGGCCAGCGCTATGTCCGCGCACGGCAGGTGCCGGGAGGTGTTCGGCCTGTTCCGCGGCTGGGAGGGGGAGATGGACGACAAGGCGGTGACGGTGGTCCTCGCCGCGTGCGCTAGGGCCGGGATGATCAGCGAGGGGAGGGAAGTCTTTGCGAGGGTGCGGAGGCCAGCGTTGCAGCACTACACGTGCATGGTGGAGATGCTGGGACGGGCCGGGGAGGTCGAGGAGGCAGAGGGGCTGCTGGCGCGGATGGAGGCGCGACCGGACAGGATCATCTGCACGGTGCTGCTCGCGGCGTGCCGGGTGCATGGCCGTGTCGATGTGGCTGAGAGAGTGGCTAGGTTGATGAGCGAGTATGGCATTGTATGAATTTTGGCATATTGATCAGTTGACAAACTGGCCATTGTGTTAGGCTGTTAGCCCAAGAGCAGTGATCAAAACCATTGTGATATGGAGCTGATAACACATAGTTTGGTTGACGGCAATGCCGCAATGGTGGTTCTTGAAGTTCATGCAGTAATGCAGTACAACACAAGCCCCTGGCCGGTGAGATCTGAATTTTGTAGAAGTCTATGTTGCAGTGGACGAACCACATGAGCGCCAGCACACTTCACTGCTTGAACCTGTATGGAAGCACAATTCGAAGGCATCTATCAGATTGCTATAAAATGAGTAATGTCAGTACTATAGACCATCTGCAGTGGAATGCCCGTCAGTTTTCTCAGTTGCTGACTGTCTACGCTCTCTGATTAGCTTAATGATGGGCGTACATTTCTGGACTGTAAGTTGTCAAGCTTAATGGAGCCTGGCAGCCCGTAATGCAACACAAAGAGAAGTCGCCAAAGTTAATAGTCGAACCTGTCAATATTGTTAATAGCTGTAACTGTCAATCTTGACTTCTTGAGTGAATTGTTGAGGAGCAGTTTCGATCAAATTTTGTTGAAGCTGGATGTGGTGGGAACCATCAAAATACAGGAAGTCTGCTCCAAGAACATGTTGTGAGATCTTCCAGGATTCAGTTTCTGGGTACTTCAGAGTTCTGGCATTCTCTCACTGTGGAAACTGTACCTCCTGCTATGGTTTCAATTTACCGAGCATAGAACGTCTGTTTTAAATGGTTGGTCTCTTCATTATTGTGTCCGCTGTCACAGCAATCACCGGATCTTATTCTGGACATATGTGCAATGATACTTGAGCAAATCAGCTCTCTGATGTAAATACTCACGTTGACGCAGAACGTCCATCTCGCATGCGACACATGGGTGCGAGGGAATGCGGAGTTGGGCGTTGCTGGTAAGAGACAGAACAAGTGGAACCTGGTTGGGAAATTAGCAGGAGAAATGGGGAAGTGGTTGTTCTGGTCATGAGCACACCTGAGCTCGTTATCTGGGCGGTTCGGCGCTCCATTGGGATGTGGTGCATTCAATTCCTGTGCCAGTGCGTTGTTCGTTTTTAAAGGAGGAAATGTGGAAATACAGTAGATGGGTACGACGTACGTAGGTCTAGTTATGGAGCGAACGTTTGCTGCCGTGATGGATCTAAAGGAGAGCCATGGCTCGTGACGTCAGCCCCGTCCTGATCCGTGGATCAGGATGTATGTTTTCCAGTAGGACGGTAGTAGAGTAGTGAATGAGGGATGGCACCAAGACGGAGTTGCCTCCAACCTCTACCTGCTCTGTTTGTGCACTGTCGCTTGCGGCTAGCTGAGCCTGAGCGGCGGAATTCATCCTGCAAAAATACACAGCTGGCGGCGCAAAAATGGAGTTCCTGATGCAACCAATTAGGAGGTAATCCCGTGTGCAGCTTTCAGCCGAGTACATCTTTCTTTAGGATTTGCATGAAATCTGTATAATATTTCAAGATTTGGGCAATGTAGGACCACCGTGCTGGATGAGGTTAATGACAACAAGGTTCCAATGGAGCCGCTGCACTACCCTGCGGTGGCAACCATTGCAGATCAATTGCCGCCCATGGCGGCAACGAGTGCTGGCGAGCAGATCTGTGCAGCGGAGGGGTCGGCGGTCGCGGAAGCAGATGGTGAAGCACAAACAAAGTAGATATGCAATTTGAAATCGTGTGCTTAGATAGGTAGTTGACTGGGCTAGCTCGACATATATTTGAAACAATTGCTCTTCAGTTTCAGAAGGGACTGGCTGAGGACAAATGTGGTTAACAAACAAAAATAAAATAAAAAAACTGTCGTAGAGGGTATATATAACAAATGTAGATAAGGCCTGTCGATCTAACCCTGGAATGGTTGGTAGACACAGCATCTCATGTGTAATAGAAATCAGCTGGGGATAACTATACTAAGCTGTACAGCATAGTAGTACTGAAGACAGTTTCTGGATTATGAGTGTAGTTTTAGTATGTTTTAACCATAGCAAAAATCTGCATAGCAGTGACATCGTGGGCATGATTTTCAATGAGATCCAAGCGCTAAGAGCAAACTTATAATCTCAAATGCAGAGTGAAGACAGTATGATCTGAAAACACGATATGTGATGGAATTAGACAGTTTGAAAAAGCAATTTAGTTTGGTTTGTGTTCTGTTCTGATGAATATAACGCAGTGAAGTCATTCCTGAATTTTAGTGTAAAGATAGAGCATAATAGAAAAATAAAATTAATCCCAGGAGGATATTTGCCGGCCTGGGGGTGTATGTTTATCTGTTTTCATGGGAAAATGATTAGATCAGAGGAACAGTGCTAAAAATCTGCTCATTGGATTAAAACTGGTTGCTTTTGATTCGATATGTTTGGCAACCTATAGGTGCTGAGAATAATAATACTGTCTGCAGGGTGTGGATCGGAGCTGCCGCTCCCGGCAGGACGCCTTATCCTAGTCGCACGAGCGCCTTTGAGAAGTCAATACGTGGTTTTGCGGAGAAGTCTGCATCGGGTACATTGATGGAAAGCTATTTCTTGTACTGCATAGCTTTATACATTGTCGTACCAAACTTGTGAGCTTTATGGATAGGCATGTCTTTGAGAACAATAATATAATCACAATTCTGTCCATACATATTTATTGTTCATTCTTCTGAAATTATGTGGACAATATCAGCATTTTTATTACTTTACTGTCATATCTCATTAGTTGATAGTTTAAGTCCACACTGTGTTCACTGCTTTTATATCATGGACAGATTATCTAAGAATTGAGAAGTGATTTTCTTTTCACATAATGTACGTTACTGTTGCACATGCTTTATTCACTTAATGATCTTGCAGTATGAATACCAATTGATAGTGATAATACTCGTACTTTTGAAAAATCGTGGTTGGGTAAGGAGGGATTGTACTTGCCTGGTTGTACGGTGCCATTCAGTTATCACTAGTCCAGGTTGACATCATTTGTGAAGCATGAAAGGCATGAATCAATTCTTTTTCAGGATTCTGGTTTTGTTGACTTAAGTGGGTATTATTAGGAGACAGAGCAGTTAAATTCAGGAACTGTGATTGTTAATTATGTAGTCTTAATTGTGATTTACACTGTAATTAGAGTGATAATTCTACATCTCTGTGCCTTATTTGACTCTTGTTTATTGGTATTTGATAGATGAGCAGGATAGGAAAGGTTACTGAAAAAGGAAGTTTTTTTGCAAGACAATGGCATGGCAAATGAGAGAAATATTCAAGTCTGACGGGGAAGTTGATTTGCAAGAATCTAGAATCGGCTAAGCTTGGTTTAATTTTGTTTAAGAGATGTCTTTGCACATGATGCATGTAAAATGCTTTCTAAATTTTGTGTCAGCTTGAGGTATTTGAAACTGTACTGATCTATTGTTTGTTACCCGTGGAACACTTGTGAATATAATTTTGTCCAAAAATTTATAAAAGCCCTGGTTAGATCAGAAGTGCTGTTCTGCTCCTGGGTGCATACACACGCACCCTAGCTGAACAGTAGTAAATTTAGAAAAAGATAGAAATAAATAAACTTTGATTTTTTATTGGATTCTATATATAGAACTGTCCAAATTCTTCTGAAGCATCCAGATACCAGTGCCAAACCAAACACCGGAATGTGGTTTGACCTGATGGCTGATTGTTGTGCTCACCATGTCATTGGAAGTAGAAATTTATGGGATGGAAACTTTGAGATCATTACGAACTTTGTCAGGATACCTTTTTTGTAACTGGATTTTTTTGGATTCATGATCTCTGTTTGTTCTTTTGCACATGGCCGAAGCGGCCTGTTCCAGTCTTGGATTCCTAATGCGTGCTGAGTTGCTGCCTTTTGATCAGATTGTAAGGTAGGGCCATGATATTTTTTGAAATTCAGAATCTTTCGCTTACTAGTGTTTAATTAAAGAAGAGGCAGCTGCTGCTGGAGGATTTTCCTTGTGCTGCGGCCTTTGGCAGTTAGTTACTCATCAGATCACTAAACTGAACACTTTGGCTGTAAACTCAAACAGGTGGCCACCCTGCGTTGCTGCCTTTCGGAGAAGTGGAAGCATCACTGCATTTTCATGTTCAACCACGAGTATCTTGTGGTCGTCGGAGCAGCTCTTCCCTTTGCCAGACACTTGCTACACCGACCGATGCCGACAGACAGATCGAGACGATGGATGAACGAGCAACCGGTGGCTGGCAGCCAAGGCAAGGCAAGGCAAGGAGGACCTTCCAGGAGCTGCATCCTCGGAGGAAATACTGACCGTGAACTCATCCCTCATGCCGTTCTCCTGATCCGCGGAATGTGCCGGCCGGATTCCGATCCCCGTGCCCGGTCGCAGGTGCCGTTTGCTCGACGGCTGTCTGCCAAGAAGAGCACGGCCGTTGCTTTCGGTTTGCCGACCGGGGCTGGAGTGCAGGGCGTGCAAAGCTCCAAACCGAGCGCTGCCGTGCCAAGCTACGGTTAGCGTTGCTTTCACCCTTGGTCTTCTTCTTCGTGCTTATCTGATTGCATTGCAGTGCCGCATGCATCCGGTGTTTGTCTACTTCCGTGTCTTTCTTTTGCTGGCTGTCGACAAGTCCTGTGTTTGCTGGCCGGAGTAATAACTGAACCCGAATTACATTCGATGCAAGGACTGCGAAATTCAGTCTGTTTTTTTTTCGTCTTGTTTCTCCCGTCTAGTATATGTTCGTAAGGAAAAATTAAGTTATTTCCCTTGGTGTGATTTCTTGTGCATATCAAGGGGAGATTCCACAAAATATAAGTTGGAAGCAATTCCATGCCTCTGTGATAGCTCCAGCAAAGAGTTCTATGCTACGAAGGTTGCCGTCAAAATTCAACTATAAAAAACGTCAATATATATGCCTAACATAAACCAGCACAGCAAGTACTGTACGTCAGTACACTTGTACGTGCGCCGACGTGGTAATTAGAAGAAAAAAAAGGTTAGAAAATTCAGCACCGTCGATCTCCTG